ACATTTTATGTTTTTGGAAAAATTATTAAAATTTTGAATGTATGAAATAAATTAAAGTAATATGAATATAGTGTAAATATAATTTGGTTTAAACTAATGTTAAGCTGCAATAATGAATTTTAGGTTGAAACTATTTTCATATTATTTTGATTAATTTAATATGACAACATGGTCACCCCTTTGATTTTGATTCTTTGGTCTGATGTTATGCTAAATCGTTTTGTTATCCAACAAAGGCAAACAAATGGATTTTTGGTCATATTGAATGAAAAATCGAAGTGTTTCGTTTTAAATTGAAAGAGTTCGTTTAATTTTTATAAACATTTAATATTTCTATCAGATGCTCATATTAAGAGATATATTTATTGAACTTTTTTGTGATAATTGATTATTCTCTTTTTCGTTGCTAATGTTTAAATAACACTCGATAGATTTTTTTAGTGAATATAAAATATAATTTTTCTATCATTTTATTTTGAATATTTATTGTCATTATATATTGTTATAGTTTAAATTGAAAAAAGGATAAAAATTATTAGCATACACGATAGATTTAAATTGTTCTGATTATAATCAGACCTATTGTAATGAATTTTCTCAAGTATTTCCATTTTTTTTTAAGAGCTGTATGCATTGTTCCTATTCTCAGAGATGTGGATGATAATTTCTGAGGTTACATTGAATAAAGAGAATATTGAATAGAATAATACCAGATCTGTTTGTTTGTTTCGGCCATTCTCTCTACTTTCTCTGTATCTGTGGATTTTCTTCTTCAGCACCTGTTAACTTTCTTTACAGACCCCTTGTGCTACTCTTTCATTTCCGTTTCCTCTGTATCTTAATTATTTCTTTGTTATGTATGATCAATGCAAATCAATATGCACATAATTTTTTTTATATATCATTGTGTAGCTAAGTGGTGATGGAGCATCTAAGGTTACCGAACCCCCCCCTTCCGACGAGCTATAAGGCCGTGTATAAACGTGCATCCCCTTAGAATGTCCTCCTATGAACAACAGCCACATTCTTTAACCGTTGTATGCTACAGATTTTAACGCCATTATTCACCAGAATTGTTTCATATTACGTATTTAGAGTTCGTAATGGGAACTACAGCCTATGACAGAAAATTGTATGTGCAGGTCCACGTCTTCATATAGCTCCCATATAACGGTACCTCCCAAAATTCGGTATTTTGATGATTTTAACACCACTATTCACCGGAATTGTTTCAAATTACGTATTTAGAGTTGGTAATGGGAACGACAGTCTGTGACAGAAAAATGTCTATGCAATTCCAGGTCTTTGTATAGGCCCCATATATCAGTTCCTCCCTATATTCGGTATTTTGACGAATTTAGGTACAATACCCACTGAAATTGTTTGAGACATCGTATTTGACGTTAGTAATGGATGCTATAGCCTGTGACAGAAAATTGTCTATGCTGGTCCATGTCTTCGCACTGCTCCGATATAATGGTACCTCCCTATATACGATATTTTGATGATTATAGCCACATTATTCACCGTTTATTTCAAGTTTCGAATTTGAATATGGTAATGGCTAATAGCAAATAATGCCTATGTAGGTACACGTCGTATAGACCGGCGGCAATATTCGGTATTTTTAAAATTTAACAGAATTTTTTAAGGATTATATTTTTTTTAATTTCCAAATTCGTTCAAAATAGTGGAGGGTATTCAAAGTTCGGCCCGGCCGAACTTACTGCTTTTTAACTTGTTACATTTTTTTTTAAATTTTATTGAATAAAAGCAAAAAATGTCGGAAATAGCATCACATTTTAGAAAAAGATTAGATTTGTTCGAATATGTCGTATTTGGCACGAATTATGACCTTCAAACGGTCAATGAAATCGTCACACGCTGTCCCAATGTTGCTCTGCGGTATTTTAGCCCATTCCCGGCGAAGTGCTTGCTTGAGGTTATCGACACTTTGGTATTGAGTAGTGCCAACCTTGCTTTCCAAAATATTCCAGACAAAATAGTCCAACGGATTGGTATCCTAAGATTATGGTGGCCACTGTGCGCTGGAAATAAAGCGTGGAACCTTATTTTGTAACCATTCTTGGGTGGCGCGTGCTGAGTGCGATGATGCTGAGACCTGTTGGAATGTCCAAGGTCTGCGGCCAAAATGTTTTCGTGCCCAAGGCTTTAATACACCCTCCAGAATATTTTCGCGATTATATTCGGCATTTATTCTAATGCCAAGGTCGATTAATACTAGCGGAGAGCGACCCTCGGCTGTTATGGCGGCTCACCCAATCACCATGGCCGGCGTTTGAGTTCTGGTGGCCAACCGAAGATGCACATTTTCAGCTGACCTCTTTCGTTTGTTTACAAACTTCTGGTGCGGATAAGTTCTTTTACTTTTTGGAATTTCAATGGCAATGGCTTATCCCCGAGCTCATTTCTCAATATTTGCCGAATGGAATATTGCGATATTTTCAGCTCAATATATATATTTTTTTTCATTTTACTCATATTTTTCATTCAATTTTTCCAAATCTTGCCTCCAGCTCATCTATTTGAACTCTCTCACCTCCAGCTTGACCATAGAGACTATAAATGATTATCCTCTTGACTTTCGGCCGTATATGGTTTATCATAGGATGAGGATATATGTATATTTGTCGGCAAAACGATGAACACTTTTTTAACTCTTTTACAATTCCAATGCATAAACTGCCCTTTTAAACATCAGACTTAAACAAAAAATTAAAAGAATATGTCTGATGTAAGTATGTTGCTGCAAAAGAGCTCTTCATTTACAAAAAAGGGGCGAGCACGAAGCTTTTTAATTGCACTGTTGCAAGACCAACTCGAGCAAAGATGCCAAAAGCTTTCTTTTCTCTACGGCTGTCTGTTTCGCCTTTTTCAATGTGTGACAACGTCAAAGGGCCTTCATCTGTGCACTAGACATCCAGACTACAATACATACATGTCCTCTGCAGCAAGTGGTAACGCACACTCACACCAACAAGAAATTACTTAAAGGGAAATAAAATAAAATACTCATACATTTCGACTCAACTGATTATACTGGGTGAGATGAAAAAACTGCAACCAAACTCAGGCTGCTGTCATTTCTAAGCCACTCGTCCGAAAGCTGTTAAACTTTTTTCAGTGACCTCCCATTATATTGTTTACAAGCGTAAAAAAGCATTTTGGTGATAATTTTCTAGAAAAAAAGTTATTCGTGATGTAATCTAAGCGTGGTAGTGTGATTTCTTTAAAAATGAGTTCGGGATAAAGCCATTAAAATTCCAAAAAGTTCAAGAATTTACACCGCAACAGAAAGAAAATAGGTTCAAAAGAGCTAACGAGTTGCTTCGCTTGGCCGAAAGTGGTAAACTGCCGAATTTGGTTTTCTCCCATGAAAAAACATTCGTTGTCCAGCAGTTTGTATCCAAAAAAATGATCGTGTTTACTTGCCAAAGAGGTCAGCTGAAAATGTTGTCGGTTGGCCACTAGAACTCAAGCGCCAGTCATGGTGATGGGGTGGGCCGCCATAACAGCCGAGGGTCGCTCTCCGCTCGTATTAATCGACCTTGACATTAGAATAAATGCCGAATATTATCGCGAAAATATTCTGGAGGGTGTATTAAAGCCTTGGGCACACAAACATTTTGGCCACCGACCTTGGACATTCCAACAGAACTCAGCACCATCGCACTCAGCACGCGCCTCCCAAGAATGGTTACAAAATACGGTTCCACGCTTCATTTTCAGCGCACAATGGCCACCAAAATCTCCGGATACCAATTGTCCGTTGGACTATTGTGTCAGGAGAATTTTGGAAAGCAAGTTTGGCACTAAAAAATACCAAAGTGTCGATCACCTCAAGCAAACGCTTCGCCGGGAATGGACCAAAATACCGCAAAGCAACATTCGGGCAGCGTGTTACGGTTTCATTGGCCGTTTGAAGGCCATAATTCGTGACAAAGGTAACCAATTCGAACAAATCAACATATTTTAAAAGTTGATGCTATTTCCGACATTTTTTGCTTTCATTCAATATAATTTAAAAACAAGTGAAAAAACATTAAGTTCGTCTGGACCGAACTTTTAATACCCTCCACCTTAGGGTAATAGAAACACTCAAACCAATTATGACCCACAAATACCAATTTTTAGACATATTCGTGGGAAAATGTGGCAAAAATCATCAAAATACCGAATATCGGGAGGTACCGCTTTATAGGGCTATACAAAAGCGTGGACCTATACATACAATATTTCGCAAACGGAGCTAGAACTCATTATGACCAACAAATTCCAATTTTTAGACCAATCCGCGATAAAATGTGACAAAAAAAAACATCAAAATACCGAATATCGGAAGATACCGTTATAAGGAGCTATACCACGAAATGGGACATATTATGACCAACAAGTACCAATTTTCAGACAAATCCCTGAAAAAATGTGGTAAAAATCATCAAAATACGGAATATCGGGAGGTACCGTTATATGGGGCTATACCAAAACGTGGACCGATATATCTCATTTTCAATACTAACTATCCTAGACACAATGAAAATTATTCCGCTAAATTTTAACGCTCTACGTCAAATAATGTGGGCTATATCGTGATTTAAGCAGACAGAATTTAGATTAGAATTTTATGCTGATTATGAATATATATACATTATGAGGTCTACGACGAATATTTAGACATGTTACAAACGGAATGACAAAGTTTATATTCCCTCCTTTCCAAGGTGGAGGGTATAAAAATATGAAAATGATGGCGTTTGACTTTATTGCAGTTTTTTTATCTCACCCTGTACACATGCATTATATTTTTGTTTTTTTAGTTTTATGTTGCAAGCCTGTCAACATGCCAACACTTTGTTGCGCGAAGGACTTCCGACGTCAGAGGTGTGAAAAAAATTGTTTTTAGTCCTTTGAACATTTTTAAATGTATTCCGCTAAAAAACATATTTAAAAATGCAATGATCTTCCATGAAAAGCTTAATGTCCGAGAAAAATGGAAACTCACATTATGTTACAAGACTGGAAGTGTAACGCGATTTCCAAGAATCGACAGGGGATATTATGAACTTCTGCAGACAAAAAATACATTTAAAAACAAAATCAAGGACCAACAATCTTGGATTTTTAATGATAGTTTTCCACTGACCACTAAAGCGGAATTTCTCAGAATTTTTCCAAGCGGTAGCATATATACCTTTTATTTAAAAACATTATTCCAATATTTTTCATATCTAAGGCTATTTTTTCAAATTTCATTCCAACTTCGTTACGGATCTTTTATATAATTCATCTCTAACTATTTCCAAATTGATACCGCCCTCGACTTGTAATACAAATGCCTTGGGATTAAATTTCGTTTGCAAATTCGTTTCCGAACATATTTCAATACGATGGTTTTTCAAGATGTATGCAATACATGTTTTAACCTGTATCAGACCCATTCGGGCGCCAATACAATTGCGGGGACCACCTCCAAAAGGTAAATAAATCATAGGATTTAAATTCGCCTTATTCTCTGGTGAAAAACGTTCCGGATCAAATTTTCGAGGATCGGTCCAATACTGGAAAGAAGAAAAAAAAACAGAAGAATAAGGTTTCTATGGGTAATTCCATTTTGATGTTCCCCCCTAACTTACCTTCTCATCATAATGCAAACCATAGACCGAAATATAGACCGGCATGCCATTTGGTATTTCAAAATCGTAGAATGGCCTCAGCGAGTATCCCTCAGATACCTCCTTCTTGGGATTCAAATATTGCCTTTCAATTAAAGGGAAAACTGGATACATACGCAGCGTTTCATCCACCACCATGCTCAGATATTCCAATTCACTTAGATCCTCATAAGATATGGAACTATTTCCCCTAGAGAAGGCATCCAACAGCTCTTGCCTTAGACGTTGCTGGATGTGAGGATTTTTGGCCAATTCAAAGAGAACATTGGCAATTGTTGTTGAAGAGGTTTCCGTGCCACCCGAAAAAAATGTCACCGTTTGGGCCACAATATACTCCATAAATTCTTTGATATCTCCACCTTTTTCCACCACCTCATTACGGAGTTTAACCACCAGTTCAATCATATCGGGGCGCCTAATTGGATTTCTAATGCGTTCTTCTACATTTTGTGTTGTGTGGGTTTTGAAAAATTCCACAGTTTCCCTAAAGAAAATCGATGGCCTAAAGAGCCAATTTAAATTGGGCGCCATGAAGACAACAAAGAAATTCAGGGCCCTTCTCAAATTAAACAGCACCAGTTGTCGGATTTGCTGGGTTATGGCCTGGGATGAAGAATTCTCCAAAGAATTGGTGGCAACGCCAAAAACTGTTGTCGCAATGCTGTCGATGGTAAAGAGAATTGCCAATTGTTTGCACTCACACACAAAACGCTCGCCCCTCTTGTGCAGATACTCCTCCAAATTCTCACCCACCTGCTGGATGAGGGGATACATTTGCTTCATTTTTCCGCTGGTAAATATTGGACTGAGTTTGAGGCGCCATTCCCGCCAGCTGTTGTAGCGTGCAAAGAACAAGCTCTTATCACCAATGGGATCGGCATGGGGATCACTGCGTCCATAGCGATTGGCAAAACAATTAAAATCCCGTATGAGTATGGACTTGATCAATTCGGGGTCTCTTAGCAAAAGAGCCGGGCGCAAGGCGTAAATTCCCACAGCAGCTTCATTGGAAAACTGCTCATTGTCGTAAATGGTTTTCACATGGAAACTGAAATTGGTTTTCAGCGTTAAAATCTCGTTTACCTTTCCTCCGAAGATACGACCCGGAACACTTGGCACCACTGGGTGGTGTTTCCAAAAATCGAAATGTTTTCTATACCAACGATAGATAAGCAAGACAAAAAGCGAAATCACACCAAACAACGATAAGAGACGATCCATAACTAACTGAGGTTTTTAATTCAAGCTGAAGTTTTCAGTTCTTGCGTCGAATTGATACCAACCCAGCCAAAATGACTACAGCTTTCATATAATCAAATGATAATTGATCTATGATTTTAAAATTGACAACATAATTTGTATATGAAAGGTTCGCCAGAATACCAACAACAAAAAGTTTAGATTGCTGTGGGTAAATTTAATAATTTAATAATAACAACAAAATAGCAACAACAGCTGAGTACACAGGGGGACCTAAGTAAAAAAAAATAAATAAAAAACCGGTAAAGTAAGTCTTAATGTCGGGCGAGACCGACTTTATGATACTCTCCACCCATTTGCATATTTAGTAGAGCTTTATATAACAAATCAGATGAACAATATATATGGGAGCTATAGCTATATCTGAACCGATTTTCCCAAAATTCAACTTATTTGTTTTTGGTCTCAATTTGGTCCTCAGTGCCAAATTCCAAACCTTTTTGGCTAATATTACAGGGTATAATGAAACAACTGCAACCAACTTCAGACTGCTGTCATTTCTAAGTCACTCGTCCGACAGCTGTTAAAATTTTTCCAGTGACAGCTCACTATGTTGTTTACAAGCGTACAAAAGCATTTTGGTGAGAATTTTCCAGAAAAAAAAGTTATTCGTGATGGAATTCAAGCGTGATAGTGTGATTTCTTTAAATTTGGCTGGAAAACAACAAGTGACTATCGTTAGAGCACTCCAGCATTTAAATGTGAATACATCTTTTGTGTCTCGTACCATCGCTCGTTACCGTGATAAAAAAGTAAAGAATCGACTTGATCGAAACCCTCGTCCCAGTGGCGGAAAAATGCCTGGCGAGCTTAACATATCGCAACATTCCATTCTGCAAATATTAAACAATGAGCTCGAGGTAAAGCCATTGAAATTCCAAAAAGTGCAAGAACTTACACCGCAACAGAAAGAAAATAGATTTAAAAGAGCTAAAGAGTTGCTTCGCTTGACCGAAAGTGGTGAACTGCCGAATTTGGGTTTCTCTGATGAGAAAACATTCGTTTTCCAGCAGTTTGTAAACAAACAAAATGATCGCGGTTACTTGCAAAAGAGATTGGCTGAAAATGTGCACCTTCGGTTGGCCACCAGAACTGAAGCGTCGGCCATGGTGATGGTGTGGGTCGCCGATGGTCGCTCTCCACTGGTACAAATCGACCGTGGCTTCAGAATAAATGTCGAATATTATCGCGAAAATATTCTGGAGGGTGTACTAAAGCCTTGGGTACGCAAACATTTTGGCCGCAGACCTTGGACATTCCAACAGGACTCAGCACCAGAATTTTTACAAAATGAGGTTTCTCGCTTCATTTCTAGCGCACAATGGCCACCATAATAGCCCCCATATAACGGTACCTCCCGATATTCGGTATTTTGATGATTTTAGCGAATTTGTTCACCGGAAATGTTTCAAATTTGATATTTAAAGTTCGTAATGGATACTTCAGCCCACGACAGAAAATTGTCTATGCAGATCCAGGTCTTCGTATAGCCCCCACATGACGGTACCTCCCGATATTCGGTATTTTGATTTTATCGACATTATAACCGATTTTTTATTTAAATTTCGCATTTGAATATTGTAATAGCTTATGACAAATGTTACCTACGCAGGTTCATGTCATCGTATAGACCCTAATATAAAAAAAAGAATTGCCAAATTCGTTCAAATGGTGGAGGGTATTCAAAGCTCGGCCCGGCCGAACTTACTGCTTTGTTACTTGTTTTATCTCACACTGTACCCGTACGTAGAGATATATGGAAGCTATATCCAAATCTGAACCGATCTCGATAAAATTTGGCATACTTATTTCCAGACTTAATTTGGTCATATATGCCAAATTCCATACTATTTGCGCTTATATTACACGTTTGGTGCCCAATAAAAAGCAAATCGAACGATGACATATATGGGAGCTATATCTAAATGTTGACCAATTATCTCCGATTTTAAAAGGGTTCGAACAAATGACTTGTGCAAAATATCACCTGGATTGGGCAATAAATGCCGTCTATACTTTGTTTACAAAAATACATGGCCACTTGTTTCAGAATGCTTGTATTTTTGTCCGCAGTATTGCCGAAGTTTACTGTTTATTTCAAAATTTGGTATTTTTTATTCAAGTTTCTTCAGAATCCTAAATATAGATTTTTAAGTAAATTTTCAAATATTTTCATAACCAAAGACTATAACTTTGGACTTTTAAATCTGAAACGATTTAAAGTTATTTTTATTTAATGTTGCCTTCTTCCCATTGCCCCTTCCTCTCTTTCGGGCAATGATAGGCGCATTTTATCTGCATTTATTTTAGTTCCATGCCAGGACAAAAACACAAAAACCCCAACCTGTCACCCGGCTATCCAAGACTACAAAGGTGACATGACCAAGTACTAGAAACAACAAAAACAAATATTACACACACACACACAATGAGATTATGTGAAAGTGTAAAAGTAGCCATAACTGAGCTCAGCTATGTGGAAATGGAAACGGGAATTTATTTTAATTAAATTTTTATAAATAAGAATTAAAAAAAACCGGGGGAAAGGTGTGCAGGACAATGTACCTACCACTACATCTGAACATGATATGTGGAAAATTCTTTTGCAGCGGATTTTAGTACGGTTAGGGCATGGCATAAATAATTGGTAAACATGTAAAAAAGCTGTAAGTTCGACCGGACCGAACTTTGAATTGCCATTTGGTACAAATTTGGCAATTTTCAAAAAAATAAAATCCGTTAAAAATTCTGTTAAGGTCTATACGACGACGTGGACCTACATAGGCGAGTTTAGCTATTACAATATTTAAATGCGAAACTTGAAAAAAAATCTGTTTATAATGGAGGTACCATGGGGGTTATAAAACGTGGACCTGAGCAGTCAATTTTCTGTCATAGGCTGTAGTATCCATTACGAACTTCAAATGCGAAATTTGAAACAATTCCGGTAAATAATGTCTCTAAAATCATCAAAATAACCAATATCGGGAGGTACCGTTATATGGGGGCTATACGAAGACGTGGACCTACATGTCTTAGGATGTAGCATTCAATACGAACTTCAAATACCAAATTTGAAACAATTCCGGTAAATAATGTCGCTAAAATCATCAAAATACCGAATATCGGGAGGTACCGTTATATGGGGGCTAAACGAAGACGTGGACTTATACGGCCCATTTTCAATACCAAAAATCCTGCAGACATAATACACATTTGAGTAAAATTTGATCAACCTACTTCATTTCGTTCGGAAGCTAGAGTGATTTCTACAGACAAATAGACGGACGGACGTCGCTAAATCGACATAGAATTTTATGCTGATCAAGAATATATATACTTCATGGGGTCCAAAATGTATATTTCAAGGTGTTACAAACGGAATGACAAACTTAATATACCCTCTATGGTGGAGGTGGTGGAGAGTATAAAAACAAGTTAAAAAGCATCAGCCGGTTTTGCCGACAGATAAATTCCCTCATCGAATGTTCGATTATTTAAATATATGTTGACTTCTGCTATGATTATTCAAATTGTTGACCCTCTATGGAGTAGGTTCCGAATGAATATGAACAATATTGTACATTTCGTATCGGACTTAAATAATATTTCTAAATATTGCGACGTGCCAGGTTTGAGCTATATCGACTGCTTCCTTCACTTTATATGAGGTATGTGACAATTTTTAGAAAATGTTGAAATGTGCGTGAGCTGTCAGATTAGAATATTGATATTACAAGAAAATCCAACATATATTCAATTTTATGCGAACTCATAAATTCCATATTCATCTGAGGTTTCTGGCTGAGAGAAATATTTAGATGCAGCAAGTTGTAAAGAATCGCTGACGTGTTATGATGGACAAAAGTATTGAAAATGATGACCTTTTTGGATGAGGTATCAGAAGGACTTCGTAGATATATATCATCTTCACAAATTGAAGATGAAATTTGAAGATAGTAGGATGCTTATTTCGCTTTTCTTTAGGCGTTTTGTTTTTTTTTTTAAATCTAAAACACTATTTGGAAGAGGTACAAGAAGGAATGGTCCGATCTATACCATCTTTATAACAGATCTTATGTTGATGTAAATATTGAGATGTACCAATTCTGAATGGAATCGAATGTTAAATTCGCATTTTATGAGCAACAGGGGTGACTTTTTCTGGGGGAGGTACCAGAAGGAATGAACCATTATAACCCATCTTCACACGTGTTAGTCGAAATAATGGGATGTGTAAAATATGAAGAGAACCGGATGCTTATTTCGGATTTTATTGGTCATTCAAAACTTTGACCCTTTGTGGGAGAGGTATCAGAAGATATTGTCCTATTTCTACCATCTTTATAACAGATCTTGCGCTGATAGAAATATTGAAATGTAACAAGTATGAATGGAATAGGATGTTAATTTCGCGTTATATGAGCTTCATGCATATTCAAAATTTTGACCATTTGTGGGAAGGTACCAGAAGAAGTGGACCGATATATTCCATCTTCAGACCAGATCTTGGGTTAATAAGAATATTATGATGTGATGGAGTGATAAAAATATATAAATATATTAGGATTTGCAAAGCTGGAGCAAAATCAGATTATCCTTTCTCTTTCTGTGCAAAAAAAAAAAACCAGTAAAGAAAGTCTTAAAGTCGGGCGGGGCCGACTTTATGATACCCTACACCACTTTACTAATTTAGTAGAGCTGCGCATAACAATTAATAGTTTTTATGGGAGAATTCAATTATACACGCTATGATTATACTTAAAATTCGAAGGACTAAATATGCCGAAGCATTTGTATCTTTTAAATTCGGACTTGTATGCTATATGGTGCTAAATTAATTTGAAATCAAATAAAGATACATATGGGAGCTATATCAAAATCTGAACCGATCTCGATAAAATTTGGCAAAGATACTTCTGAGCTGTATTTGATATATTTCCCTGAATATCGTTGTTACGGAGTGCATATTATGGCTGTGGGTAACAAATATGAAAAACGGATGAACAGTATATATGGGAGCTATAGCTATATCTGAACCGATCTTCACCAAATTTGGCATACTAGCTTCTAGACTCAATTCGGTCGTAAGTACGAAGTTTCATCCAATTTGGGCAAATATTAGACGTTTGGTGCACAATCAAAGGTAAATCGGACGAAGTTATATATGGGAGCTATATCCAA